GTTTAACACTGTGTCCCATCAACCTTACTTTTAATTACAATGTTTGATTGTTTGGGAATTGAGGATACTAATTGGTAAAGTTTTACAAGCAAAATTTTTGCCCAGTGGGAAGACTTCAGAAGCTCAGCAGTCTGAGCTGATGAACAAATCACAGATTCCTGATTTTATTGCATTTTACAAAATGTCCCAACTTCTCTGGGATTGGGGTTGTAAAACATTTTGCATGTAAGGTGGATCACTTTACATATTTGGCAGTTGTCAGTTATGTTTTGTGAACATTAACAAAACTACACAAGACAAAACAGTTCCTTTCTACGGGTGCTTATTTGATTTCATTCTTTGTGTCAGACCTGGAGTGTGAACAGTGTGTGAACACTTGAACACCGGAGATTGGGTTAACTATGTGCATATGTTCTTAGTCCACAATCTTAACTGAGTTGTAGCGGTCTCATATAGTGCTGCATGACCGCTGGCCTACATACACTCACCCAAGCAATATCATCTTGGTCAACCACCTTATTCTCGCAATTTTTGCAAAGACTGACAGCAGATGGTCTGGACTCAGCAGCTTTCATTGGCCAGGGGCCACCTGTCTGACCGACATGTAAAGCATCTAATCACAGTTTATTTAGCGTCATGTTTAGGGGTGTGAACATGTCAAGTCGATGTCTCTACAATAACAAACTGGCGTGTAACCAATGATCATTGATTCAAGAGCGTCGTCTTCAGTCATTAAGACTCTATGCCGTCAACTTCACATACTTTTGAAATCCAGTGTTTAGTTTATTCTAATAAGCAAGCATTGGTGTAAAAACGTTCAGTGAGGTTTGTTCACAGAAATCCTGCAGAACTCAACCAATCAGATCTTAGTTAGTGTTCCAAAGACGAACGAAGGTCATACGGGTTTGGAACGACATAGGAGTGTCACAATTTTCATTTTTGGGTGAAATAATCCCTTTAAGTCCTGTGTTTTCTTCTGTTCTTGGTCAAGTCTTGTTACGTCTGTTCAGTTCCTGTTTCCAGTTTTGAGTTTGTGTAAATAAAACGAATTTGCTGCCCTTAGATCCTCACCTCATCCTTATTTGCAACTGTTTTGTGACAGAGAGAGGAGCTTTTTAATTTTTTTGATCTGGTGGAACTCACCAGAGGATTTGTTTTGACAGGCTATGCATTTCCTTATGACACAAAGAAATACAGTGTATTTGAAACTTCTTCAGGTTGCACAATGTAGAAAATAAATGTTTGAAAGACAGTACTAACCTGAATATTACCTTTTTTTATTTGGTGTGTTTAATCTGACGCTTACCAGAGTTTTATTTGCCCTTAAAAGCACTTCCTCCAGGTACTGCGGAACAGCTTCACCGTGGCCCCGCCCTCTCGGTAACAGCTTCACCGTGGCCCCGCCCTCTCGGAGACGTCACGCCGCGTTGCCTGGCGTGTTTGTATTTTAAAGCCTGGACTTGAGTGCAGTGCGCTCCTGCAGCAGTCACACAGATAGGTGGGATACATCCTTGGTGGAGAATCGCAGAGGCCTGCAGAGGATCAGAATGAGGTCATTTGTGTTTGTGCCCGTTAGCTGAAGGAGGAGGAGGATGTTTGCTGCTGGTGTTTTTAGCGCGTATGCTAATGTTAGCTCTCCTCATGCAGTATTTCTGTGTGTGTGAACAGCTAACATAGCAGCCCGCGGCTTTCGACTTCACTTCCGTCTCTTTTCGAGCAGGTAAGAATATAATGTCTTTGCTGTTTATCAGCTCTAGCATCAGGCACGTGCTGTGTGTGTAGTTTGTGCAGGAAGAGTCATTAGCTGCTGAAAGTGAGACCTCAAACTGCACATGACTGACCTCCTGCATTACTAATGCATTTGAGGCGATAATCACACTGTATTGCATATGCATATGCTGTCAGTCAAATAGCACTGGCTTTTAAACTACCGTGTTGATTTCACTTTGATCAAGCAGAGATCTAATTATATAACAAAGAGAATCAAAGAAATGTACAGAACAATTTCGAAGCAGTCTAATGAAACTTCTATGATATTCGTTCTTTTACAATGAATTCAAGCCAGTTATGGTGTTTCTCTGACTTTGGTGCTGTTATTTGATGCTTGTGTTATTTGTTTAGTGGTGTGTGAGGAATAAAGCGTCAGTTCCTTTTCTGTTGTGTGTGTGTGTGTGTGTGTGTGTGTGTGTGTGTGATGTGTTGTGTGTGATGTGTGTGTGATGTGTGTGTGTATGTGTGGTGTGTGTGTATGTGATGTGTGTTGTGTTGTGTATGTACAGTCCGGTCCAAAAGTTTTGGCAGTGACAAATTGTGTTTTGCAAAGTTTGTTGCGTCAGTATTTGTAGATTTTTTTCTATGTTTTTTTTTGTGGTTTCTATGGTATACTGAAAAACAATGATAAGAATATCATAAGTTTTAAAGGCTTTTATTGGCAAAAAAATATTTATAATGAGTCAATATTTACAGTGTTGACCCTCGTTCTTCATAACCTCTGTCTGCAATTTGCTCTGGCATGCTGGATATTAGCTTCTGGGCCAAATCCTGACTGATGGCGATCCATTCTTGCCTTATTAGTTCTCAGAGTTGATCACAATGTGTGAGCTTCTGCTTGTCCACTCGCCTTTTGAGGACTGACCACAGGTTCTCTATGAGATTGAGATCCGGGATTTGCACCAGTCTTCTGCTGTCCAATCCTTGTACCTCCTGCAGAATTTCAGTCTGTCCTTGAAGTTTTTCTTGGAGAGAAGTGGCTTCTTTGCTGCCCTTCTTGACACCAGGCCGTTGTCCAAAAGTCTTGGCCTCACTGTGCGTGCAGATGCTCTCACACCAACCTGCTGCCATTCCTGAGCAAGCTATTCACTGCTGGAGACACGATTACAGCTGACTCCTCAGGTCGAGACGGTCCTGGCGCTTGCTGGACACTCTGGGACGTCCTGAAGACTTCTTCACTGCAGTCCAACCGCTCTCCTTGAAGTTCTTGATTATCTGGTAAATGGTTCTTTCAGGTGCAATATTCTTTGTAGCAATTTCCTTGCATGTGAGGCCATTTAGATACAAAGTGATGATGGCTGCATGTGTTTCTTTAAAGGTAACCATTGCTAACAAGAACACAATAATTGGAAGTGCTTCTTCCCTCCTTTTATAGCAATCAGTCTGCTCTTACAATCTAATGAGTGTGATAGTGATTAACCTGACTATTACTCATTCACACTTTCACATGTGCTGCTGATATTAGTCAGTTAATGTTAGCTGGTCATTTTGTGTCAGGATCAAAAAACTAAATTAGTTTTTTTGTGTGTGTGAAAAGTTCATTTTTTTTGGCCAATGAAGCTTTTAGCAGTTATTTAAAATGCATCTTATCACTCTACACAATAATCTAGAAACAATGTGAATGGACACCACAGCAGCTTAAGCAGCAAACTTGGCAAAACACAAAATGTGTTTCACTGCCAAAACTTTTGGCCATGACTGTGTGTGTGTGTGTATGTGATGTGTGTGTGTGTATGTAGATGTGGGGTGTGTGTAGATGTGTGTATGTGTTGTTGTGTAGATGTGTGTATGTGATGTGTTGTTGTGTATGTCTATGTGATGTGTTGTGGTATGTTGTGTGTGTGTGTGTGTTGTCAGACAGGTGTTGTCAGTAACAGATGTCCTTGGATTATGGCAGTGCTCTGTTTATGCTATCAGATAACTGACAGGGTTTTCAGCATTTCCTTTGGGTAGTTAACAAATAGCATGGAGGTGATTCATTAATTAACATATATGCATTTATTTTAGGGATGCACCAATATGAAAATTTTGGCCGATACCGATAACCGATTATTCTTTATTTTTGAAAGCCGATAACCGATATGTTGGCCGATAAATCTATATCCAATTTGTTATATACTTTTTGAGAGCCTGATTACAAAAAAGGTCTCATCATTAAAAGCCACATCCCAAACACTTCAACATAAGCAGCCTAGTTTGAACGGTGTACGTTTTAAAAATATTTTTACTTTCCCATTACCAAATTTAGTCATAAAAAAGTCTTACAAATAAATAAAATTATGCATAAATAATGCAAACAAGTCACTGGACATCATTACACGTGTAAAGAATCAAAATGAATGCGCCATAGATCAATAAAACGGAATAGCCTCTGCACGGACAATAATTAAATGATTTTAATTACTAAACCATATTGTTGATGAAAATAATAAGAGAAAAATACAAGTGGTTGTTGTTATTAATAATATATCAATGATTTTGAAAAAGTAACAAATGAATACCACTGTTTTAAATAGCAGCCATTGAGCTGCAGCTCAAGCTGAAGCTGAAGAGCTGAATGAACACGGTAAACTGAAGCGTTTTGCTGGCAGCTTATTTAACTCAAGGAAATGCATCCTGAGATTAATATTAATACAACATAAACATAATATTACAACTTATATATGTACAAAATGACGCAGTTATTGCATGCTATAGTCAGAATGTGTGATCCTGTTGTGGATGCGCTCTTCCCATAACAACGCGCTGAAACACAGCAACTAAACCCAAAGAATGCACAACGTTTTATTATAATAATGTTCTCATTAGAATGTTATATACACAACATTCCCAATCATAGTTATTAATGTTGTGCACTGCTGTTTGAGCTGCGTGCGCTGAGCTAAAGACGATCACCGGTAAACTGAAGCGCTCTTTTAACTTAACCAAACGCATTCTATATGAGATAAATCAGATATACATCAAATAAACACAATATTACAACGTACAATTGCACAAAAGGCTGCAAACGAACAGCGCACATCTGAAGTGTCTCTGAAGGAAATAATGCATTATTTATCGGCTTTAAGATATCGGCCAAATTTTCTTATCAGGCCGATACCAATAACAGAAAAAATGAGGCGATATGGGCCGATACCGATATGGTGGCCGATATATCGTGCATCCCTAAAAAA